ATGACCCTTAAATCTGTTTATCACCCACAATTTATACACTATGTGTTTATTGGGGACTCTTTCATTTCACATGAACTTGCAGGAATAAGTGATTCGAAGCTCGATCTGACCAGAAGACGACGGCTTATTTAGCCGTTTGGCTTCAATACAACATGCACGTTCACGCCTTCCATGAAGCATCCTACCTCGTTTCGGATGAGAACGGACTGAGCTTTCGTCCATCATATCGTGGATATCATCAGAGCTGGAACTAATTCCTGCAAAAGCCTCAAGTCAACACCAGGTTAAGAAGACTGTCGGGCTCTATCCTACCTTGCATATATACTCATAAATAAAAAATGTATAGACATAGATTGATATTGAATGGTCTGGCTTATTTTCTTTAATATATATCATTGTATCTTCACTTAAGTGTGCGCGTGTGTGATTACTCTGATTTAGGAGCAGCATTGCGTATAAACGTTAACAAACACACACATTCAAGTATGAGTACCATGATCAACATGAACGCTAATTAGTCAAATCATTTTATATATATATCTATGTCTACCCACTTATGAATATGTATACAAGTAGTATATAGCCGAATAATCTTTTTCTTTTTCAAGAATGAGTTCGAGCTCTGATGGTGTCCTTCATATGATGAGCGAAAACTAGGCTCGTTTCCACTCGAATCGAGGCGTCAACTTATACGTCGTATCAAAACCATGCAGGTTCATACAAAATGAAAGTCTTCGCAATTATATTCTCTTAGAAATTCACCGAAACCCAGTTACTTTTTGTATATACTATGTGTTTGACGCTAAAATCTTTTATCTTAGGCCATCATAATCTGAGTGTAGTCGAGACAGATGATTCGTCGTCCTTGTATACGGCTGCTGCCGATTTCACTGTGCCTAGAGGCATCGGTACTAAACAAACTTTAATTTTCCAATTTCTACAATTGTCATAGAAATATTCACATTTTCTTGTTCTCTTATCCTTTAAACGCCGACAAACCAGAGCGTACCGCCTCCGGAAACCACCTGCGCAGCGGCCATCCTGCAACATCCGCTCGGAGGTTGACCTTGTCCTCCGAGGCTGCCACGGCAACCGAACAGGACGTTCATTCAGGCTATGGGCGTCAGATGTCGCCAGCCGGGCTGCACCCACCTTCGGGGCACACCTCCCAACCGGCTCTATCAAATTCCAATCATGCTCATCCACACACGCACAACTCGACGTCTACCGGCGTCAGTCCCGTCGTGCCGGGCTACCCAACGCACCAGAACCAACACTCGTTGCTTCTTCACCAGACGCCTCCGCAACAGACCCAGGCTCAGCAGACCGGCAGCGGCAGCGAAGAGACCGAGGCTGAGGAGAGAGGCGGTGTCGTCAAGCGACAGAAGAAACGAGGCATATTCCCCAAAGTGGCGACCAACATTATGCGCGCTTGGTTGTTCCAACATCTCTCGGTGAGCCAACCACAGCTGGGCCCCACAATGTTCGCATTCGGCCTTCTTACTCTTCCTTTTTGTGGGGTTCG